ATAGACTGGCAACATGGCTAGAAATATGCGATAATGTTCACACGCGTAGGGGCCTATTGATATATATATATATATATGCCTCTACAGGCGTTTACTGTCGCTCCTTGGTCTTTTCAGCTGAGGCTGGTAAAGGTGTTGGTCACTCGGTGCACGACGTTGTGTCGATCATATGTTCTTCGGTCAGACTCGATCTTTCTCCAGTTACAGCAAGGAGATCGGCACTGGAAAACAAATATTGTGTGCGATTAGATTCCTTTCGTAATGGGTTTTACAAGATCTCTTTGCAAAGGTAAGTGACAAGAGAAAAAAAGGCTCCTTTTCAGCCATTTTCCTTTTTTTCAAAGGCTTTTAAATCTGATTTCGTTCAAGCAGCAATAAGGTAGAATCATGTTGTAATCGTGGATAGTGTAGAATAATTTAATTAACAGACGAAATTACTTTAAAATGATAATTGTTAATTAAATTAAATTGTGCGAATTATTTCTACCTTAAATGGTTAATAGTAGTGTAACCGTGAAGTCCTGCCGTTAGACACGTGGCGCCATCTAGTGACGATCAGTGAAGTGACAGAAAGTAGAGTTGACTACGATCACAGACTTCTATGATTGTAACCAACTCAACTCGATGCCTGTCCAAATATGCATATTTACACGTGCATAATATTTACACATGCATAATTATGCATATTATGTATAATTAATGTGTAATAAAAGTGGCGCCCGACCCGCCTACTCGCGAAGAGTAGGTTTGGCTGGGCGCATGGATCCGATCGTCTGCCTTCTGACACGTCATCATCAGTGACCACAGACAGCGACCTGTCAACATATGAAAGGTTAGACGTGCACACACACACACACATGCTGTTCATAGTGCGGCTGTGTACAGAGAGCTGCCCTATGCTAACCTACTATGCACACGCACGCACGCACATACGCACATACGCACGCACGCACGTACGCACGCACGAATGCCTGTGTAGTATTGATGACAACCTTAGCAGTATTGCAGCAGCGTATCTATAAACGCGTAACAGTGTGCTGGAGTATGTAATTGTAGCGATGCTGGCGTGCAAACTAGCATCGCGCGCGCTCATTAATTATTCAGGACGCCTAGCAAGCGGAGGTGTTTAATAAACTGACCAGATAGCGTGGCACGACAGAGGAAGTGCGGAGAGGGGAGCATGCGGTGCTCGCGAAGCAACGATCGCAGGTCGCGTAAGAATGCGACCTGGCGAAGCTCAGGAGGTGAGAAGATAATGCCCGGATGTCGGTCGCGAAGGCCGGGCTCATATAAAAGGCGTGCCGCGCTTGGAGCGGAAGAACTCCTCTCCCTGTTGTTCTATACGACTGTTGTCTCGCACGTCCCTTGTACGCGTCACGGCTTATTTGTAACTCCCTGTTATCATGGCTCACAATATACGTGTTTGTGGTACGTTACGCTTCTAGTTCGTGTTTTCTTTGCGTCTTCCACTACCGTTACTCATTACCCGGTACACCCTATACGATCACGCTGAACACAACGTTACATTTGGTTTTTGTGGTGCACACGTGTTCCCAACGATCAACAAGCAAATTGCTAACTAGTCAGGTAAGTGAGCAGAACGAGTACTGGTGGTTATGTCACATTTTACGCCCGGGGTACGTGGGTTATTGTAATTAGATAGTCATAGTAATTCTAATCGCAGTTACGAAACTCACGGCATGGCTCATGGCAAGAGTCTAAAAGGAAGTTGGAGGAAACTGCATCAATAGCCACTCTCCTCCAAACCAACACGCAAACAAAAGAAGATGTCAGTCACTCTCAAAGATCTGAATGCCACAATGACGAGGCAGACGCCATCCCTACGAGCTCTCAAACAAACCCAGGACATGCCCAAACCAACAGTCCCATACGGCACAATAGAAAGCGCAGTCAGATGTGGCATGAAAATTGTATAGCTCAAGTTCAAAGACCCTATCAAAGAGAAGA